TGAGAGTCACTTTTCGCTAAAATTGATGGTTTTCCCTGCAAAGTGAAAAAACTGTTTTCCTCACTTATTTGTTTAAATAGAAAAGTTAGCTAATAAAAGTTTTTTACTCACGAGACGAGAGATGTCTTGTATTATGTTCCTTTAGACAATTTTACAATAATCAAGCGGATAGGACTTGTTTCGAGTAAAAATTTAATTTGCTTGGTCTAATAAGTAAATTTGCTTCAAAAGACGGACGAATAAACCTGTTTTATAAAAACATGCACTATGTTTTTAAAATATTTTGTTAAAGGTGGAGGCAAACGAAAAGCTCTTGGCGTTGTTTTATATGTAAAGAGATAAGTTGGCTGGCTACCTTATGAAAATTTGTTTTTATATTTTTTCATATTTTTTAATATTCATAAACCAAGTCGGAACAATTTTGTTAATTATTAGGTAAATATATCACTTTGTTTTTTTCTGTTACTTAATTTTATTGTAAATACAATTTTTAAAGATCTGATATTATTATTAATAATATATTTTTTTAATTACGATTATAGTAGGGCTATTGGCGAAGATATCCATGATAAAAAATGACGTTTTATGAAGAAGAAATTGACGTACTCAGAGTTTTTACAAATCGCACAGTTTTCCCGATATTACATAAACATAGTTTATTTTTAATAGTACCATTTGTGCCACTTCTTTTGAAAACACTCTGTATAGTATTTATGTAAGTTGTAACAAGTTACTTACTGTTGCATTGTAAAACACTAAATATTTCTTAGTAAGTCGTAAATTTTAAATTTCCATGAAACTAGTAAATATTACATATATTGATTTACCAATTGACGTTATATTGCCAACAAATCTGCCCTTAATTACGGTCATCAGTCACATTCTTCGTCCATGACGTCTAAAGACGGAAAATATGCCTAACGAAACCTATTTTTAAAAATGAGTTCCTGATATGGTGTTCGAATTCCGTAGACATTACGTCCTTATCGCATTCGCTGCTTATTTCGGCTCTGATGCAATTGTTTTTAAGGATTTGTATTCGATATGGAACAATTGTTGTCTCGGTTTGTCAATGGCATCAACAGCTAGACTATTTGCGTGAAAAATTAAAAATAACAAAAGTAATGTGTCCGGGTCCGGAACAGTAGGCAGTGACTCATTCTCGACATGTAGATTCTTGAGCATATTCCTTGAGCGTATCATTTTAGAGAGTTTCAAAAATTATTATCAATAAATTGGTATATCCAAGAAGTAGATAGGTACTTTTTTTGTACTAAGGTAAGTATTTAACAATTTTGTCCTCACAGGCAAAGATGACCTGCTAGACAAGGCTACATAAACTCAATAAAATCACTAAAACTCTATTAAAATCACAAACATCGCTGAAAAATCAGTCGTACCACCGATAAGACACTAGAAACGATACTGTCGCCTATTGAAGAAGTACTTTTACGTCTCCTAATCTAGGAGGTGTGTTATTTCGCGCTACAAAAGTTTTTATATTCGCCCAGATTAGTTCAATGGGGTTCAGCTCACAAGGTTATGGTGGCTATCGAAGAAATCGCGAGCTTCAGCCATTTCACTCTCTAAATTTTTTTGCTATTCTGTTGTACTTACAAATGTTGGTTCTGATGGTATTTTCTGGTAGATATGGTTGTCGAACAATCCCGCCGAGGCTACTAACCCATTGACCTCGGGACCAGAAGAATAACTCGGTGGAAACAACAGTTGCCTGTAAAAAAGTGAAAATTACTTTTATGAAAACCTAGACAATGTATCGTTCTTACTTTTTGATGGGATTTTGGATGCTGAACGGCGTAGTTGCCGAGTTCAACTTCTTTTCCATCTGCCTGGCTCTATCCTCCTCGCTTTCTGTACTATAACTCTCCTGTTTAAAGATTTGCGGCTCTCTGACCGTCCTGCAGAGAAAGAAAACGTGTTTAATACCCGTTTTATCGTATAACGGTTCGTCAACCGTCTAAAACACATCCCGAATGGATTACAGGCACTTACCCGAATCCTTGAGACGCAGAAGAGGAGCTGGAGCTCATCAGCGGTTCAGTTTCTGAATCGGAGTCCTGGTTTTTACCCTTGATGATCATTTTGTAATTTCTTATTAGGTCTGAAAGAGGAAATAATGAAATAATCACGTAGTTTAGGTGAATACCTATTCATTTTGTAGTTATATCTATGTACATATGTCTATTACAAATTTGTTACAGTAGTTTTCTTAAAAATTCACGTATCTTGAGAAATTAGCATTAGCGAGAATCACCGAAACTCGCCGAAGTCGTCCCGAAGCGAAGCGTATCTTACGATGGTCTCGAATCGCGCAGCACGCAAGTAAAACAATCAACAATGCCCTTGCCAACAATGAGCATATAGTGGTGGGAGTGTTGTTTGTTGTCGCGTGTGTGTAGAAGCCTCGAGTGTAAAGTAAATTTCGTTTAGTTGTATAATTTTCGGATTTATTTCGGTGTGATTATTGTGATAGTGAACTAAAACAGTGTAGATAAATATTTGATTTTAAAAATCTGTGTAGTTTGTGTGGAATAGTGACCAATCCAGCTTCGAATTTCGGCTGCTGCCAGACAGACTACAGACAAAATTAAGGTAATGTAAGCTTGTAACAGTTTAAATTCAAATGTAAATGCCGTAAATACATCATGTGTGTGTTGTTTGTAAATTAATAACAACAAGCTTCTCAACGTTTGGTTTTGAAGAGGGGAATTGTTTCGAAAGGTATCGTAGAGATTCTCAGACCGAAAATTATAAAAAATTTGAACGGTTGCGACAAAAGATCTGTCTTAAATCGTTGGTCTGTGTTTTATTTTCCACAAGCTCGTATAGTAGAAATGGATTTTAACCGATTTAAACAATTTGCGTAAGCTAAAATACATGTATCCAGTAATACACATTGAGGCTACCTATAAGAATTAATCATGTTCTCACTAAAAACAGGGCCGTATCGTGAAAGTCGTATAGGTAGGCGTAGTTTTTGGGGATTTAATAAATTTGTTAGTAAAATTTAGAAAACTCTACAAGATCTAAAGGTACCTACTTATGATTTGATACAAAACGATACCTAACCTACTATTTTTTAACAGAAAATAGCCCAAAAAGTCAAAAGTAAGGACTAAAAAGTTGAAAAGTGCTTTCAAAATATTGACCCCAATAATTACTGTTGTCAGAAATAAAAAAAAACAGTTCCTTTTCCTCTATTGTGTACAGAAATATTAATAGATAATGACTTAAAATCTTCTATTGTTTTTATACCGAAAAACCACTGAAAATTTTCAGTTATTCACATGGTGGATATTATTTTTTTATAAATAGACCCGGGAATTAACTTTTTTGGTTTTGTTGGTGGTAATCCGGAATGATCCGGTTGTTTTCCGAAATAATAACTTATTTATACTCCCATAGAATATTACTTCAAGAAGAATATCAATAACACTTTGAAAAAATATATTTTCTTTTTCTCGCGAGGAAACAATTCGATACTTACCCCTCATGGTGATCAAAGAATACAATAACATTCACAATTTTTCACAAACAAGACACTACGGGTATTCTGCCGGGCAAAAAATCAACTAGCAGCCGTTAGTTCCTCTACGGGAGTTTTTCAGTTTGACCTCACTATTTTTCAACCTCAACAATATTGTCATTATCACTAAAAAAATATGTTTAGATCGTCGGTCTTCTGACACGTGACGAATACAACTGAGGAGTGTTAGACAGTAGTTTGTCCCGGGGCACAACTCAACTCGAATTCACGATTCTGTGCTTTACCACATTTATATACCGAGCAGGAGAGTGATAAGAACGTCACTAGACCTCGCTGTTTGTAAAAGTCGCCTCTCTTATCTCTTGTTCTGGTTCAACATGGACGAAAGGCAACCGGAAGTCTTTCGTGCGATCAGAAATAACGAGCGTTCAAATAAAAACGTGGTCGAAGTTGGCTCTGACAGATTGGACGTAGGGAGTAGCTTATAGCGACCAACTTAACCTCATTTCTCAACGAGCTGTATAGCAGCTGTCAGTTTCAATAACGTTAATGACTATATAACTTTATTTTAAAGAATAATCGTGATAACAATTACAAACAATTAAAGGAGCTGCGGAAAGTGTCACCCTCCTTGTTATAACAATAAATTAAAGCAGCTGCTGAAAGTGTCCCTTTCCTTATTCCAAGCATTTTTCACACCTGTTCCTCAAAGAATTAAAGACATTTTCTGAGATGCTCGGGGTATTGTTAATTTCACGAATCTTGTCAAATGGAAGTAGTCTCTGAAATAATTCTAATGGGCTGTCATCGGAGACAGCCTATACATATATTTCAGTATGAATAAAAATAAAACTACTTAATATTTACTAGAATACCTACATAATATTCCATTTTGAGCTATTTTGTCTGTGGTTACAATATCAATTTACTGTTCTATATTTCACAACTTTTGTAACTCTCTGTCTGATATTTTGACTTTGGAGTTATATAGAAATGGAAAACGCATTTGACATTACCATATCTCAAGTCGATTTGAAGGTAAACAAAATACAAACGCATAAAAACAACAATTTTATTGATATAAAAATACGAAAACTGTATGAGTATTACAAACGTTGCCCTAAAGTGGTTAAAAATCGTCGACCAAACAAATAATGTAGACTTCCATTCATTATTTATTGATCAAAGACAAGTATGCAGGCCACATGTCAGCTGATGGTTGTCCTCCATAAATTTTACAATACACATTTTGAATACAATAACTTTTGTTCAATTTCAGCTTTATTATGACGTTATTCTTACTTAGATTACGCTAACAATTACAAAGCAAGTGAGATTATTAGTCGTGGTAGTAAAAGTTCGACCTAACCTATTTTTCCCATCAGCTGATTGTAGCCATGCCGCGTCGCTGACGTCACGATATGCCCTCGACTGTTTCGACTCAGCATGTTCTGCAGTAGGTGGCTTGATATTTGGAGACCTCCGTACTCCTCTCGGGGTAGCACTGGATGAGAGCGTCTCCGTTGTAGCCAGCCGGGCAAGTGCACACGGCTATGTGTCTCCGGGGGTTGCAGTTGGCATTGGAGCCGCACTGGTTGACGCAGGGGTTCTGGCAACTGAAAAGAAACCAGGGAAAGGTTTTTAAAGACAAGAAATCGAAAATTGGGGTCGTCTGTATTCCGCAGTGCAATGAACTGTTTCTTTGAATGTTGCGGGTTTAGGGCAATTAATAAACGCTCTCTTTGCGCAATGTTTCGGCCATACAGTTAGTGTTTCTTGAGGATATTCCACTATAAAAAAAATGTGGTGTCGGTAAAGATAAATTAAAATGTTTCTCAGTATTAGTCCAGGGAACGAAGAGAAAAATAGGGTTTATAAATAAGTTATTACAATATTTCAACCCTTAAAAAACTACCCCTAATAACAAAATATTAAAAAAAATAGTTTATAACAGTTTGAAATGATTTCGTAGTAGATACAAATAGGACAAATTAAATTCTTTTACCTGTTTATAATACAATTTATAATTTATCGCATTGTTTTAACCCTTAAAAACCACCCCCAATGACAAAATATAAAAAATGGCATTTTCCTAATAACTTTCTTTCTCGCGATTTACTTTAATTTAGGTATGCAATATTCAAAATAAAGATTTCTCAATATTTTTTTCATGCGGAAAGTCATACTTACATAATTTCAAATTTTCAAATATACAGAGTGTTTCTTAATAACGTGCTAATATTTAAGGAGGTTATTTTTGGGTCCATTTTAAGAAAAAAACTTCATATGAACANCGCAGTGCAATGAACTGTTTCTTTGAATGTTGCGGGTTTAGGGCAATTAATAAACGCTCTTTTTGCGCAATGTTTCGGCCATACAGTTAGTGTTTCTTGAGGATATTCCACTATAAAAAAATGTGGTGTCGGTAAAGATAAAATAAAATGTTTCTCTGTATTAGTCCAGGGAACGAAGAGAAAAATAGGGTAAAACCTCCGAATACTTTCGGATGGATCAGATTTTTTATGAAAATTTGGAATTAAGCTTATTTCACCCTGTAGACGAAAAGTTATATATGCTTGATATGCGCTTCTTATTTTTAGGGGATGAAAACTACCCCTTATGCTAAAAAACTGAATAAATATAAACATAGGTGTTATGTAGACTAATATATATAGAATAAATATTGTTTTATATTGTGGGTTATAATTTACTTAGTTTTATAAAGTTTCAACCCTTGAAAACCACCCTTAATGATAAAGTTATAAAATTAATAGTTTTTTTGACCTTAAAATACTTTTATAGCGCATATATTATAGATAGAAATCTTTTCAACAGTTTATGGTATTATAAATAAGTTATTACAATATTTCAACCCTTAAAAAACTACCCCTAATGACAAAATATTTAAAAAAAATAGTTTATAACAGTTTGAAATGATTTCATAGTAGATACAAAAAGGACAAATTAAATTCTTTTACCTGTTTATAATACAATTTATAATTTATCGCATTGTTTTAACCCTTAAAAACCACCCCCAATGAGAAAATATAAAAATTGGCTTTTTCCTAATAACTTTCTTTCTCGCGATTTACTTTAATTTAGGTATGTAATATTCAAAATAAAGATTTCTCAATATTTTTTTCATGCGGAAAGTCATACTTTCATAATTTNTTTGACAGATGACATTTAAGTTCATTTGCTATACGCTACGCCCTACGTTCAAATTTTCAGAACCAACTTGACCACGTTTTTATTTGAACGCTCGTTAGAACGGTCCAGGTTCCATGAGTCATAAATAAATTGAACCACGATTTTTACTATTTAACCTGATTTAATAAATTGACTTCAGAGCGTGTCATAGGCGTATAAGTGGAAACGGCGTAGTGTTATTTTGTCAAAATTTAGTTCGGTAAACAAAGACACTGAAAAATTAGGAAAAATTCCGTAGAATCGAATGAACTACTTTATCCCAGTTGAATGTTAGGGCTTAATTTTGAAAAAGGCCTCCAAAATTCGCAAAAAACAGTTTTTTTCATTAAAAAAAAAAACTAAACATTTTAGAAAAAAAATGCTTTAGACAAAAGTTGTGGAACTTTTTATAACAAAAATGTTGAGCCCAGCCCAATGTCAACTGATAAACAAATGTATTAGTTATTGCAAAAAACCGTCTAAAAATCGCATTTTTTTAAAATTTTCAGAACATGTAGTCCTTGGCAAGTACAATAAGACCATTTTTGTAAAATTGCTAAATATTTGATAGTTTTTGCAAAAAAATGAGTTTTTCGAAAAAAGTTTCAATGAATCATGCAGTAATAAACTTACGTAACCGATCTTGGGCTTAAAATTTTCTCTAATAGTTGTACTTTTCTGTGCAAATTGTGCACTTATTGCAAAATAATTGGAAATATGCGAAAAATCTACCGAAACTTTGAATTCTTTTTTCAGGTCGAAAAATGTTGATCTTTTTCTTATCCTTGAAATTTAATCGGAGTGGCATTATTTTATTTAAACAGAGCACCCTGAAATTTCAAAACCAAATTTTCAAAATTCAAATGGAAGTAGTCTCTGAAATAATTCTAATGGGCTGTCATCGGAGACAGCCTATACATATATTTCAGTATGAATAAAAATAAAACTACTTAATATGTACTAGAATACCTACATAATATTCCATTTTGAGCTATTTTGTCTGTGGTTACAATATCAATTTACTGTTCTATATTTCACAACTTTTGTAACTCTGTCTGATATTTTGACTTTGGAGTTATATAGAAATGGAAAACGCATTTGATATTACCATATCTCAAGTCGATTTCAAGGTAAACAAAATACAAACGCATAAAAACAACAATTTTATTGATATAAAAATACAAAAACTGTATATTACAAACGTTGCGCTAAATTGGTTAAAAATCGTCGACCAAACAAATAATGTAGATTTACATTCATTATTTATTGATCAAAGACAAGTATGCAGGCCACATGTCAGCTGATGGTTGTCCTCCATAAATTTTACAATACACATTTTGAATACAATAACTTTTGTTCAATTTCAGCTTTATTATGACGTTATTCTTACTTAGATTACGCTAACAATTACAAAGCAAGTGAGATTATTAGTCGTGGTAGTAAAAGTTCGACCTAACCTATTTTTCCCATCAGCTGATTGTAGCCATGCCGCGTCGCTGACGTCACGATATGCCCTCGACTGTTTCGACTCAGCATGTTCTGCAGTAGGTGGCTTGATATTTGGAGACCTCCGTGCTCCTCTCGGGGTAGCACTGGATGAGAGCGTCTCCGTTGTAGCCAGCCGGGCAAGTGCACACGGCTATGTGTCTCCGGGGGTTGCAGTTGGCATTGGAGCCGCACTGGTTGACGCAGGGGTTCTGGCAACTGAAAAGAAACCAGGGAAAGGTTTTTAAAGACAAGAAATCGAAAATTGGGGTCGTCTGTATTCCGCAGTGCAATGAACTGTTTCTTTGAATGTTGCGGGTTTAGGGCAATTAATAAACGCTCTCTTTGCGCAATGTTTCGGCCATACAGTTAGTGTTTCTTGAGGATATTCCACTATAAAAAAAATGTGGTGTCGGTAAAGATAAATTAAAATGTTTCTCAGTATTAGTCCAGGGAACGAAGAGAAAAATAGGGTTTATAAATAAGTTATTACAATATTTCAACCCTTAAAAAACTACCCCTAATAACAAAATATTAAAAAAAATAGTTTATAACAGTTTGAAATGATTTCATAGTAGATACAAAAAGGACAAATTAAATTCTTTTACCTGTTTATAATACAATTTATAATTTATCGCATTGTTTTAACCCTTAAAAACCACCCCCAATGAGAAAATATAAAAATTGGCTTTTTCCTAATAACTTTCTTTCTCGCGATTTACTTTAATTTAGGTATGTAATATTCAAAATAAAGATTTCTCAATATTTTTTTCATGCGGAAAGTCATACTTACATAATTTCAAATTTTCAAATATACAGAGTGTTTCTTAATAACGTGCTAATATTTAAGGAGGTTATTTTTGGGTCCATTTTAAGAAAAAAACTTCATATGAACATATGTCCTAAAAGTCTTAACTTTTGAACTACAGGGTGCTAAAGTTTTATGAAAAAACATTTTTTTATTATAACTGGTATTACCTACCCTACATATTTTTTCAAATTTGGTACACGCCTTCTATTCATCAAGATGCATTTTTTGATGTACATATAATTTTATTATTTTTGCCAGTGGCGTCTGTACAGGTTTTGTATTGAATATTTTTGAAGAAAAATATGTTACGCCACTGCTTTTTCTTGAAGTAAAAACCATTTTTGAAATCCTCATTCCTTTCTGAGCAAATGTGGTGTCTTGAATTTTTTCGTTTGACATACGGTTTTCGCATAAAAAAATAAAATTCATTCATTTTCATTTTATTTACGAGAAAAAAAAATGATGCAACTGAACAATAATTTATTTAAGATAATAGCTTTTAAATATTGAAATTATGAAATTACAGTAATCTACATACATTTTGGATTAGTAAAAGAAAATTACCCCGGCGTGACATTTTTCTTCAAAGATATTCAATACAAAACCTGTACAGACGCCACTGGCAAAAATAATAAAATTGTTTGTACATCAGAAAATGCATCTCGATGAATAGAAGGCGTGTACCAAATATGAATAAAATGGACCCAAGAATAACCTTAAATATTAGCACGATATTAAGAAACACCCTGTATAATATACATTATATTATTTTTTCATGTATACTAGGGTGGCCCAAAAAAAAACGATTATTTTTTTATCGTGTCTTGTGAAAATGTTAGTTTATCAATTTTTTAGAGGGCGCTCAAGATTTTTAAAAATTTCCAAAATTGTCAAAAATTTTTTTTCTCGTTATTTTATCATTTTCTAGGTTGAAAAAAATCTCGATTGTAAAAATTTCAAATCGATATTTTAATTTCTAAAGGTCACTCATAATTATTTTAACTTGAAAAGTAGTGTAGGTACCTATCAACGAAGTAATAATTTTTTTATTGAATTAGGTGAACAAAAAAATAGAAATAAATCACGAGACACTTAAAAAATTTCTCGAGGCAAAATTTACTACCGCACTGAGTATCAAATATTTATAATTTTTTAATTTTTTAAAATTTAAGTGTCTCGTGACTTATTTCTATTCTTTTGTTCATCAGATTCAAAAAAAAAAAATTATTAGTTTATTTTTTAGAGGTCGCTCGAAAACATAGGTACACTACTTTGAAAATTAAAATAATTATGAGTGACCTTTAGAAATTAAAATATCGATTTGAAATTTCGGGAATCGATTTTTTTTCAACCTAGAAAATGATAAAATAACGAGAAAAAAAATTAAAAAAAAATTAATTTTTGCCGAATTTGGAAATTTTTAAAAATCTTGAGCGACCTCTAAAAAAATTTTATTTGAGCTGATTTTTTGAGGGGCTCTTAAAACATGATAAACTAACATATTTTCACAAGAGGCACGAAAAAAATAATAGTTTTTTTTGGGCCACCCAAATGTATACCTATGAATGCTTCAAAGTTGTGGATAACCAAAAATATTGATATGCTCCGAAAATTGAAGCGGTAAGGTACCGCTGGTTTTTTAACGATAACTTCCATAATTTTAAAGCTATTAAGACTTACGGAAAATTTCGACAGTTAAAAGTACTGTAAAACTGAATATTTTTAACGCGTTATGTTTTTTGCAATTAAATATTGATTCAGCAGGTAAAGCAACGCTTTTTATTAATTTTAATTATAAGCGCATTTATGCCACAACAACTGTCAAACTCAACAACCACTAGTCTAAAATTAATATTATTTCAAATTTATTTCAATATTTTTGACATTTTTGAGGTTAAAGGGTTTGAAAAATATGAGCTTCGCCCTCAACTGCAAAATTCTAGCAGCTCTGTCTTGCACAAATAAAAAAAAAACAAAATATTCTGTGAAAAAAAACTAAACTTGTACTATTGACAATTTTTGTTTTTTTTTTAATTTTTAGTTATTTTCAAAAATGTTATTTTTTTGGAATAAAAAAAAATAATCAAACGTAATATTTTAAAACATGCATTCTAAACCGCTTAAACTTGTATAATATATTGTTAGCACATAAAAAATGTAAATTGTAGAAGGATTACTGTTAATTTTAAATATCGTGAAAAATTCATCAGTTTTTGTACTGATTTTTTTTCCCGAAAAAGTGAATTAACAGTTTTATTCTGATCATAACTGTTAATTTTTATGCTAATGACTTATTAAGTTCATTTTAAAGATTTTTTTAAAGTACTTTAAAAAATGTTCAGTGCATTTTTCTTGAAAAATAGAATTTTTTTAGTTATTTTACGTTAAATGCTTCCAATTTGGTTTCTGGCGGACATGAAATTATCTTCAACCAGCCGTATCTCAGCACCTATTGCACCTACATAAATGAAAAAGAACTCAATCTTTTTCTTTTTCTATAAGCTTCATTTTCTTCGTGATGTTTTTTTTTCATAGAATGTCTGTTTTCCGAGTTATTCGAGAAAAACTATTGAAAAACGTCTTTTTTTTAATAAAACATGTACATTTTCAATCACCAATAAAATACTTTTTGCTTAAAATTGATTGCTTTATCAATTCCTGAGGTTATTTTCAATATTTTATTTTTCATCCCCTAGAAGGGGCGGCTTGCCACTATTGCACATCAAATATTATGTTTTTTGAAGCGCAGTTTTTTTTTCTAAATTATTTCGGCCCCACACTGCCGACCCTGACGAGTCGCCCCTGGCGAACCAAATTGTATAAACGCAAGATTCTTGACAAGCTGTCACCCGTCAAAATAATTCAAAAGCGACCCTTCACGTCTCCCGGCCGACTAGATGGACTCTCCGCGCGTCAAAAATGACACTTCGGTCGTGACTTGAGGCGGTCCCCCGACAACGAACTCCCAAATTAAATGGACGTCAAGTCCCGAGTCCTCCACCACCTCCAGCGTCATTACAAGAAAATCCTAGTGGTCGTCTCCAGCGTCGTGGCGCTCTACTTCCTGAACAAGTACGTCTGCGGCAGGATGTTCCGCAGGAGGCCCAAGAGGGAGCCGATCAAGGACTTCCCCACCATCGAGGACATACAGAAGTTCATCGAGGACCTGCCCTTCGACGCCATGAAGATGGACAAGACCATCACGTTGAAGGACCTGCTGGGGGAGCTGTCCGAGTTCAGCGAGGACGAGGAGTGGAAGGAGCTCATCGCCAGCGTGCACAGCCTGTACCAGGACTCGCCGAGGGTGGACAGGGGTAACGGAGATGCCGGTTTTCCCGCGTAAGGTGTTGTGGTGCTTTGTAAATTGTATGTTCTCCGTAGTCAATAAAGTAAGTGATGTCAAACTGGCGTTATGGTCTTTCGGATGATAATAAAATTAATTATAACAAAAAACAGAGTTCCTACGAACGTATAGTTTGTTTTAGAATGGAAAAAAATAACCTCTCAAACAAATTACTTTGCACTTTGTTCTTTTTTCGTGCCCGAAGGTCATATCGAAGTCGGAAAACTTTACAAATCCATACTTTTTTTTTCATTGAGAGTAAGTACATCCTGATAGCAAGTAAAATTTGGGCGCGTTTCAGTACATCATAGTAGCACTTGATGTACAGGGTGTCCCAAAGTTCGCGTCCCGGGCCCATAGCAGACAAACGAAAAATCACAGTAAAATTCTGTTTAGATGGCGTGAATCAGGACTCGCTAAGGTCCGTTTTGACTCGAAAAATATTTTTTTCAAAATTCGGAAAATAAATAAAATGACGTCATCAACTTTTTTCCTACGAACCATTTTTTTGTGATAACTAAAATTATCTCTTTTTTATGAACATTTTTTGTGCACAAATTTTTTCTCTATCTCTTCTGCTTAAAAAGTTACAATAACAAACAATATACAAAAATGTAGTCTATTCTATTGGTACTAGTCATGACTTAATCAACATTACTGTGAAAAACAATCGCTGTAACTCCTGTCACAAATTTGTTTACATATTAGTTGCTTAAAAAAGGTCGCTCCACGAGGAAAGAGAACAATACACATAATGACGGTTAAATAGGGTAACCAAATATATAGTCCAGTCATTATAGACAAGAAACAGCCTGTTTCGGGAAAAAAATACTATTAGAAGTTTATCTGCGGAATATTGTTCGGAAACGTGTTATAAACAAAATATCAAAAAATCAACTCAAGGCTAGTTGGGAAACTTTGGTTAAACGATGGTCAAAGTTATGGAAAAGTGGTTTTTTGACTCGCATAAAAAAACTATTATTCATAGCGAAAAAAAGTTTATACAAAAAAGGTAGGTATTAAATAAGCCTATAAAATGAGACAAGTCCGATTAAATTCCGATAATTTGTTTATGCGCAAGACATTTGTAATTCAGGATTTTTTAGGCTTTTTACACCCTTAATAAGTGGTAAAAAATTCAACCCGAAAGCTTCATTGGTTTGGCGTTGGCGGAATTTGTTATCTAAGAAGATGCTATTTTCAATTAATTTTTCCCAAGCTCAAAGGCGTTGTAGAGCTTCGATCATTAGTTGTTTTTGTACCTAAGTAGTTGTATTAATAATGAACCTATCGAGATGATTATTTTTCTAATTTGTAGTAGCGCGAAAATTCATAAGCATTGTATTAACATTATTTCAATCCGAGATTGAATTTTTTATTTAGCCACTCTCTTCCCACTCGTTCGCTAGACCGAGTAATAGAACGCACCGCCGTTGTCTTCTTTTTGCAATTAAATAGTTGAATTCACCTTAATGTTAATGTAGGACATGAAAATATAGCTCTTAATGTATACTCTCTCCAAATTTTGGCTCTTAATAATTAAGGATATTGCGATTAAATAAAAAAAAATTGTCTCAGCTTCTAATCAACTTAGAGCAACGATTTTTTTTTAAATTCGAAGAAAATCCATATGTTAATACAACTATTTAGGTACAAAAACAACTAATGATCGAAACTCTACAACGCCTTTGAGCTTGGGAAAAATCAATTAAAAATAGCATCTTCTTAGATAACAAATTCCGCTAACTAATGAAGCTTTTGAGCTGAAATTTTTACCACTTATTAAGGGTGCAAAAAGCCTCAAAAATCCTGAATTATAAGTGACTGCGACGAAAATTGCATTAATTATTAGCAATTGAAAAAAACGGCCATTTTCAACCATTTTTGAGCATAAACAAATTATCGGAATTTAATCGGACTTGTCTAATTTTACAGATTTATTTAATACTTACCTTTTTTGTATAAACCTTTATTCTCTATGAATATTTTTTTTTACGCGAGTCAAAAAACCACTTTTCCATAATTTTGACCATTGTTTTAACGAAGTTTCCCAACTAGTCTCGAGTTGATTTTTTGATATTTTGTTTATAACACGTTTCTGAACAATATTCCGCAAAAAAATTTCTAATAGTATTTTTTTCCCGAAAAAAAAAGCTGTAATGACTGGCCTAATAGAAAATATTAAACAATTTTAATTGTAACTATAAATAATAAATATAACAATAACTAATAATAAAACACAAAACAAAATATAAAATTATCATTATTACTTTAAAAACATTTCCATATACATGCCTCCTACTTCTAAGCATTTATCCAATCTTTTCCTAACTTCCCTTGTAGCTTTAAACAACGTTTCTCTTGAAAGATTCTCACAAACATGTCGAATCTTTTGCTTTAAATGCTCCAAACTTCTCGTGGGTGTCTTATATACTCGATTTTTTAATGTTCTCCATAAAAAACGGTCTAGGGGCGTTAAGTCTGGAGACTTTGAAGCCCATTCTACAAGTATTTTTTAAATAGTCTGTAACTCTTTTAGCTTTATGTGGAGGAGCACCATCTTGTTTAAGTCACATATTCAACCTGAGCTGCAGCGGCGCATGTTCAAGCAAAAACTGTAAATAGCTATTAACGTTCAATACATTTTCATAATGCCACACCTAACATTTATTCCATAATGGCCCTGATATTGAACATAGTGTGGATTTTCAATGGTCCAGTAATGTTCGTTTCTTTTATTTGGCTTGCCATTACTTATAAAACGACTCTCATAGGTTCAAACAATGTGTTGTAAGAGTCTATTAACTATTTCCAAATTAACCATTATTTGGGCTACACAATTAAGTCTTTTTTCAGCACGTATGTCAGATAAGTGCTCCAAGTTATTTAGCATATAGTCATGGTAACCGTTGGAGCTCAAAATTATTTACACAGAGCTTCTTTTTAAATTTATTGCAAAAGTGACCTGTCGTATAGAATTTCCAGGATTTTCCTCAAAATATTTAATACCCTAGCTACGGTAATATGGTTACACACTAATTTTGAAATTCCTTTCCCTTTTCTTGACGAAAATGCATTTTCGTTAGCACGCAAAATTCGTTCTAATCTGGCAAATACATATTTTTAGGTTAACAGCTTGACGCTCTGGATATCTCCCATGATATAAGTTAGCAGCTCTTCTGCCATTTTTTTGACATTCACCATAAATTAAAATCATGTCAACTTTTACATTGTTTGTGAATATTTTTTAATTTTTAGCAATCACTTACTAGTTTTTTTATCATGCAAGAAATAGCGTTTGACAGAAACGAATATGTAAACAGACTTGTGACAGCAGTTTCAGCCATTGTTTTCACAGCAATGTTGATTAAATCATGACTAATTCCAGTACATTTTTGTATAATGTTTGTTATTGTAACTTTTTAAGGAGAACAGATAGAGAAAAAATTTCTGCACAAAAAAATGTTCATAAAAAATAGATAATTTTTTTTATCATAAAAATAGGTATATTTGTGGAAAAAAGTTGATGACTTCATTTTTTTTATTTTCAAATTTTGAGAAAAATGTTTTTCAAATGCAAAATGGACCGATTCACGCTATCTAAACAGATTTTTTACTGTCGTTTTTCGTTTGTCTGTTATGGGCCCGAGACGCGAACTTTAGGTCACCCTGTACAACACAAATGTGAATATTACAAAACTGGTTTTACCTGTATTCAATGCAAGCTTGACTGTCTGAGCAGTGGCTGTTGTCTGTACATTCTCCCTTGAAGCAGGCCTTCAGGGGGTCTCCTATGTATCCGAAGGGACAGGTACAGACGGGTCGTTCCTTGTTGGTCCTGTCGAATCCTGGCTCGCAGTGAGCATTGGCACCGCATGGGTTGGGCTCGCAGAGGTCTTCTGCAACACATCATAGTTATAAAAAAAATAATAATAACAATTGATTTGAACAGAAATCACGGTACTAGATGTGTGGATACTTGTATCGTGGCATCGGTATTGAATACTACTACTTATTTTATTTATAGTACAGTTATTGAAGCTTTTCACCTCCGAATTCTTTGAAACTGAACCGATCGACTTGAAATTTGGCA